TTTAATATATATTTTTTTAACTTTTTTACCATTTTGGAAGTTCCAAACCAACCCATAGTCTTGTCTTGAGAGGACATTGAGGTAGATTATAGATATACATAAGACAATATAAATTGATACTATTATTACATTCTCACATACAAAACAAGCTTGGTATATTGTATGATATTAGAAGATGTACACACTCATATGAGTGTTTGAATTTGACAATTACAAATCTATGAATATAGTTTAATTTAAGATAAAATTGGTAAAAAATTCCCTCTAGCAATTGTCTATGGTCCAGTGAATATTTTTTTTATTGGTGAGAGGTTCATCTTTTGTGAAATAGTTTGATGAGAAGTCTAAACTGACATTTTGTTTCCAATTTTACCCCTTAATTTATTCGTTCACTTTTTTTTATCTGTTGACTTCCATTGACTATATGTTCAAACTTTATATCTATCTATTGAAATTTTTTCCTTATCTGTTTAAAATTTTTCATATTTGTTCAAAAATTTTCCTATTTATTCAATTTTTTTTCTATCTGTTCAAATTTTTTTTTGTCTATTTGTTAAATTTTTTCTCCTTTATTTATTTAAAATTTTACTATTTGTTGCAATCTTTTGACTATTTGCTCAAATTTTTAACTATCTATTCAAATTTTTCCCCTTATCTGTTCAAATTTTATTTTTCGTTTAATTTTTTTCTTTGAATTCGATCTATCTAAATTTTATCTGTTCAATATTTTTTTTATCAATTGAAACATGAAGCTAGACAAAATCCTATATGTTGAGCCAAACCAACTATCTATTACAATACCAAGCCAAACCAAACCCTAGATGTTCAAATTTCTATCTATCTCTCTTTCTTCTTATCTATTGCAATATATTTCATTATCATCATCAACAACAACAACAGCAGATCTAAACAGATAACTCAAAAAAAGATACAGATAAAGAGAAAGATACAGAGCGGGGTAGATCATCTATCTGTGTTCAATAACAACAACTACTGCAAACAAATCTAAATTTGCATTTATAAAAAAAAAAAAAGATCAGAGAGAAAAAAATACTCTTGATCCATCATTAAGCCTTGGTTCATCATCTTCGCTATAAAGGCCAAGCATCCAAGTGATAGTTGTTGAAACCAAATATTCACACCCAAAACAGAATAAAAACAAAATCTATATATAAATATATACATATATAGAGCCCATAACATAAGATTAAACAAAAAGAATAACATATGTAACACAGATGTCTATGTATTCAATGTATATACACGCACACATATACTTTTATATATAGTGAAAGAAGATCACCAAGGTTACCGACAGGCACACGGGTGCGACGAATGAATCCTATCGCCACCATCGACATCCAAAATTGTAGTCAAATCTCCATATATGGGGAGAAGCAAGATCAAAAGCTAAAGCTAGAGCTAGAGCTAGAGCGAGATATGCAGGTGCGCTGAGCCGCCATGTACTGTCGATGGAAGTACCATCGCCGCCATGTGTTAAGAGAGAAAGAAATGAGGTGTGGGTCTGCAATTTGTGTGGATCACTCACAGATCTGCATAGTATTGGAGAAAATGGATTTTTAGTGACTTTTGTTCTAACTTTGGTTCAAGGTTTTTTGTAATAAGATCTTTACACCACAAAAAGAATGACCAAAAACCATTGAGAATTATGTGAAATTGTCTCATAAAGTTGGCCTCATGAATGAGAGATTTAGAATGATGATTAAGCATTTTACACACGGTTTAACCATGAGAGACATGTGGCCTAACCATAAGGAATACATGGCCTTAATATTGTCTTAGACTACGAGGGACACATGAACCTTAATAGCGTCTTAGATCATGAGACACACATAGCCTAACCATGAGGGACACATAGTTTTGAAAGCCATGAGGTACACATGACCTTGCCATATGTCTTGCCAAAGATGCCTATATAAGGGCATGCTCAACATTGTGAATTTAATCACAAAAAAAGCTAAGTTCTCTCATCATCTTTTCCCCATTGTGTATAAAACGAGACCATCCTCTTTGGTTGGAGTACAAAAACTTTTCTCCCATATTATAGTCAGTCTGCTCTTATAATATATTCTTCCTATGTGAGAGAGTGTTGCCATTGTCAATTCGCCAAAGCTAAACAGAAGGTGTTTATGCGTTAACGAGTTCTAAACTACCGTATCTTAGGAGACAGACGCCGACATAACTCCAGTACTCACGGTGAGATAGCGAATCTATTTTAAGCAGACTGTGGTATCATACAAGCTTACGTTTGCTTTGTTTTCTTATCTCAGTATTTTAATTTGTTATATGTGTTTCTGTTCATCAAGATGTAATATCCCATGAATTCTTGTTCTGTGGTTTTTCCTATTTAATTTACCATGAATCTATTTATTTTATTTAATTCACACAATTTTTACAACACGTAGATCAACTCAGATCTCGACCTACAGCATTAAGATCTGTGTCGGCGAGAGAAGAGGCGACAGTGGGGAAGTGGAAAGGGCTGTCGACGGCGGCGATGGAGTGCGTCAGAGAAAGAGAGAGAGAGTAGAGCCTTCGCTCTCATCTAAAGACGACACCAACATGTCCGTCACCATGAAACAACGATGTCCTCCGCTGTGCTCATTAGAAACCGCCGACGGCAACACCTCTGTTACGAGCAATCATGTAGAGAAAGGAGGAGAGAGATTAGGGCTACGAGAGTTAGGGATACGAAAATGAATGTATATAATGTATAGAATATATATATATATATATATATATATAGGTACTTTGGTCATTTTAACTTTTTGACACAAAATAAATAAATAAATAAATAAATAAAAAATTATGACCAAACACAAAATAAATAAATAAATAAATAAATAAAAAATTATGACCAAATGCCCTTAATGTAACAATTACAAAATGATATTTTAGGGTTTGTTTGGGATGTGGGTTGGCTTTTTGGCTATTTTAACCTAGGGCTAAAAATTTTCGTTTGGGATAGACTTTTTGGTTTTTTTGACTTTTGTGAGAGAAAAAATGAAATGATTATGGTTTGAATGTGACATTTTGTCTTATTAGGCTAAAATGTCTATTTTGTCCTTTTATGATTATTTTATCCAAAAAGCCTCATTTTAACTTATACCAAACGAAGACTTAATATAAATATTTCTCAATGAATGAGTGACTTAGTAACGCTAGCTATATTATCTTGTTCTGAAAATTTTCTTCTTTATTGCTATCTTGAATCATGACTTTAACTTCTTTATTAAAAAAAAAACAAAAAAGAAAGACCTTGACTCCTTTTTATTTATTATTTTTATGGAAAAGACCTTGACTTAAAAACAACTAATTTTGCGTTCAAGAATTTACTGAAAACACTACAAGAAAGTAGGGCTTAAAAGATGGAAGCATTTGCAACGGCACACATGTTGTCTCAAAAAGTGACTTTTGGCGACGGCACAACTTGTTGTCGCGAAAAATGTGAGTTTTTGCGACGACACAACTTGCTGTCGCGAAAAATGTGAGTTTTTGCGACGACAAAACTTGCTATCGTGAAAAAATAGAGTATTTGCGATGGCAGAAAATGTTGTCGCAAAAAAGGAGAGTATTTGCGACGACAGAGACTGTTGTCACGAAAAAATAAAGTTTTTGCGACTGCACCAGCTATAGTCACAAAAAAAAAGACGACTTTTTTGCGACTGTAATAAATACCATTGCAAAAAAAAAAAAAAAGAAAAAAAAAAAATTATTGTGGCTTTGAGATGGCTTCATATATAAACAGTCACAAAATGGTTTGAATGAATGTGACGGTATTTTTCTGTCGCAAAAAAAATTTAAAAAAAACGACGTCATTTTACTCTTTTGATATAACATTTCTTTTTTCACTTATTTTTTTATCTCCCTGTTTCTCTCTCTCTCTGTCTCTGTCTCTGTCTTCTCTTTCTCTCTCTCGCTCATCACTCTTCTCTCTTTGTCTGTCTATCTGTCTATTTCTCTCTCTCTCTCTCGCTCATCTCTTTTCTCTTCCTGTCTGTTTGGCTCATCTCTCATCTCTCTATCTCTCTTGTTCATCTATCTTCTCTCTATGTCTCTCTCTTTTTCTATATCTCTCTCTCGTTCATCTCTTTTCGCTCTCTTTGTCTATCTCTTGCTCATCTCTTGTTTCTCACTCTTTTTCTATCTCTCTTTCTCTCTTTGTCTCTCTCTCTCTCTCTCTCCCTCACTGTGTTCGCCTTGCTCACTCTCTCCTTCGCCTCTTCTCTATTTACCGAGCTCCATCTTGATTTATCGATCCACTACAAGAAAATGCACTTTTAGCAACCACTTTGTCTCTCTTTCGCTTATCACTCTGTCTCTATCTCTCTCTATCTGTCTCTCACTCACCATCTTCACTACTACTACAAATGCCATTCCATTACCACCACTACTACCATAATTGCCACTTCACCTTTACAACTACCACTACTACCACCATCGCCACCACTCCACTACCACCACCCCTACTACTGCCACTACTACTACCATTAACTCTCCTCTACCACTGCCACTCCATCTCTTTTACCACTACCACAACTTCACCACTAATCTCCTTCGCCGTCACCACCACCACCACCACCACCACCATTACCTCTTATCCACCTACCTCACCACTAATGCAGCTCCCTCTTCTCTACCACAAAAAAATAGTTCCTGATTTTTAGTAACAAAAAAAAATGGGCCGCAAAAAAATATTTTTCATTGACCACCAAAAATTAACTTTATTTTGACGGAAAATATTTTTCATTAAAATATTACCCCTACTTCTACCAAATTAAAAAAAATAATAATTTTTTTTCATTAAAATAAAAATGAAACAAATAAATTTTCAACCTTTGGAACTAAAAAAAATTGAAAAATCAAAAAAAAAAAAAAATTTCATTACCTACAAAAAATAAATAAAAAGATGTTGTTCACACCGCCTATCCTAACTCCCCTCTTATTTTTTTTCTTTTTCTTTTCGTTTTCCTGCTCTTTCTATCTGAATTTCCCCATTTTTCCCCCCTTTTGTTTCTCACGATCTCAAATCCCCAATCCCCAATCCCCAATCCCTTAAACAAAAAATCCACAAAATACTCTCTCTCTCTCTCTCTCTCGACTGTAAGCAGCGGCACTGGTAGCAGCAGCAGCAGTAAGAGGGGACGATGGCGAGCAGCGAGCAACGACAGTGAGCAGCAAGTGACGACGGCTAGTAGTGACGACCACCACTGCCGCCGCCGCCACCACCTCCTCCCTTACCGCCCTCTCTCTCTCTTCTCCTATTCTCTTCATCGATCTTCACTGGTCGTCTACTTCATCTTCTCCACTCTCGTCGTCGGTTCCAAAACCCCAACCCTACCTTCGATCTTCTCCAATCCCTCCATAAGCCATATGTTCGAATCCAAACCCTACACTCCACTCAACTATTTCAAAATCTTTCTCTACAAAGGACTACCACCGGACTTGTCAAAATGACGACCTCAAATTGGCTGATTGTGATGAGAAAGATCAGGTGGCGAGGCACATTAACGCGTCAAAAACAAAATCAGAAGATAGACAGTTCATATATACCCTAATTTTCCCCTCCATTTCTGTTCAAATGTAAGTATGATATAGTCGTCTTCAATGTGGGTTTCTTGGGTTACTGGTACTAGTCTTAACTGTGCTCTTTATGTGTTTATTTAATTGACTGAATGATGTGTTTGTTGAATTAGGTTTGTTTTGATTGGCTTGGTTTTCAGGGGATTCTTAGATTGGTCTTAATGTGATTGCCCTTGCACCTCATTCAGGTCGCACAACAAAAGTTATCTTAATTGAGGCCTATCTGCAGAAAACTAGAGAAACGAAACAAATGAAGGTTTTTTCTCAATTATGTTAACCTAAGGTTTGGGTTTCATGGTCCTCTTTCTTGGACATGTTTTCTTTGTGATTTATAGATTGATTATAGGTTTATATCCATTGAATACACCTACAAGGTGTTTGTGAATATGTTTATAAGAGAACCTGCATGCTTACTTCTTTGGACATTAGCCATCTGTGTTGGGCATACACTATATACCTGAACAAACAAAATTGATGGATTTGTAGATTTAAAGACACTACAATAAATTAAAAAACAAAGCATTGAATTGATGTGGTTGATAGTAATTGTTGTGAGATAGTAAGCAAACTATGAAACAGACCTAGTGAATCTTTCGTCCATGTTTTGGTTTTACGAACAAGACACATAAACTAAACTAAGCATTTCAAACTACACACAGTGGTATATATATATATATATATGGACATCCTACATACATTATGCTATTTGTCTGGTTTTCCATGATTGAGGGATCAATGCTTAGCTCACACTAATCAAATACAAAATTAAATAGGCTTTGTCTCTCTAAAACATTTCTCAACAACAAATAATGAGATACAGAATGAGTGTTGATACTTTAATCATTTAAATATGACACATTTTTCATAGTTAAAAGTGGTTGCAACAATAATACTAAAATCATAACTTCACTCTTTTAAAATGCTTCTTCTTCTCTTTCTTTCTTTCTTTCTTCTGTTTTTTCTTCTTCTTCTTCTTCTTCTTCTTCTTTTTTTTTTTTTTCTTCTTCTTCGTCTTTTTTTTTTTTTTTGTTGTAGTTTGGAATTATACGTGTTACCAATGGAATCTTCTATGAAAATATCAAATATATGTATCTAGATTGAGAGTGTATCAAAAAGTTGTACATTTTATAAAGATGTACAATCATTTAAATCTTGACTAATGATAGTGGGTGGGAATTCAATGCAGAGATTGATTTCTTGGAGTTCAAGCCTTGCAGCAGCAGTGACAATATCTGTTCCAATAAAAACTCAAACAGTGGACACTAAGAAAGCAATTTCTTTTCTCATTTAACATATGGAAAAGGTAAAGTTGGTGATGTGAATCATGATTTTGCATTTTTAATCAAATCAATTATGTTTTAATTACCCACAATTTTTTTTTTCAATTAACATATGATTGTGTTTTTCGTTACACACGGCTTTCCTTATGTATATATATATATATATAACTCAATTGTTTCCCTATACAAGGCTTTTAATAAGTTGAATACCCAGTTGATTTAAACCTTACTACATGCTATATGAACATTTCAAAATAGACATGATGTATGTTAGCAAAGAAGGAAAAAAGGAAGGGCACCAAAGGCTTATAAATTTACAATATCTATACATTTTTCTCAATCCATACTCTCCAAATCTGAAATCTAGTCCCAATGTATATGCATAACATTTAGTCTGTGCTACCCTTATGGTGATCGTTTACATTCCTTCAACTCATTGGGATGTCAAATTGAACCTTTGGATTGTGATTAGCTTATGATCATTCACACCGTTGGATCTGCATACCTATATGAATACATATTGGTTTAATTTTCATGTTACTTGATCTTATATGTGATAGAGAAATCGTTTTCATTGTCTGTGTTAGATTATGCATTATAGAGTTTATTTGCATTAGTATGTTTAATTTATGCCATGATTTAATATATTGATCAATGTTTTCATTTCTGTAATTTGTACAAATGAGTGAATTTGTTTTTGAGAGAATAGAGGTGCTTGTTAGTTTGAACTTGGCTTTGTATTGTATTGCCTTTTTCTTGTTTCTTGAACTTGAATTTGAATTTGGTACAATTTATAATTTTGTGATTGAAGTATGTGTTTTTTTGTGATGGTTTGTGTTTGTATTGAAGTTGCAGCCTCGTATTCAAGCTCTTGCACATGTTGAAATTAAATTATGGTTAATGTTTTTCCATTGTCTTGTAATAATATATTTCATGGTTGTCGTTATTCCTTTCTTTGTCAAATGTGAATGATTATTGTTTCCTTTCTTATAAGTATTGATGTGTTGGTTCATTGTCTTCTGTTTGGTAATTGAGAAACTAGAGGACCTCCAAGAAAAGGTTTAATTTTTCAATTAAGAAAATATTTAACTCTTTTATATGATTTCGTGGCCAGCGTTAAGTTAATAGTTGGCTATTTTAGTTGGTTTTTTTGGCTTGGTTCTTAGTACGTAAATTGGGTAAGAATGAACAGGTAAATTCATGGCTTGGAAATTTTTGAGCCTCCTTTCCTATTAACACCTTTTGATTCAAAGTTTTTCATTGACCTTGTTGCTTTGTTTTCTGCTTAAGTAACAGTGTTTATTTCCTGTTTACTGATTAATCATTAGTTTTGAAATTACTAATCCTATTGATTGCTAAATTATATTGGGTGTGAGATTCAGATAATCTCTATTACATAGTTGTAATGGAAGATTTCCAATCCCTGTGTTTAGTGCAGTTTCTCATTAATTTGTAACACCTTATTTAGCAATTTGGGTGAAGCCAATTTTAGTAAAAATGCGTTTCTATCAATCTGTTGTTGAGCCTGGTAAAAGAAACTATAAACATGCCAACATAATTTATAGAATTGACATGTTAGCAGTGTTGTGGGTTATCAAGTTTTATCGAAATAGTAAGATGTTATGCTATTTCACAAACATCTGGAATCCATCACCCCTTTGTTGTATGCAACAGTATAATGTGATATATCCGATTAAATTTTCTAGAGAAACTTCACTGTTTAAGACAACTAGCAGAATGAAATTAAAATACCAGGGACTACTCATAAATAATTGAATTTCTTACCTCATCATATAAGAAAACTTTCTTTCGTTCCTCTTCCCAATCTTTAGTCTTGGCTATCGGTAGGTCTACCAAAGCTGCAAGAAAATCATTGCACGGATACATACTACTTGTGGTTTAGAGTAGACAAAGTTGGCTGTAAAACTGGTTTTGGGGAACAATATATTGGTCTTTTTTCAAGCTAACTGATTACCTAATTAAAAAATTTAATATTTTATAGAGTTATATTTGCATTTTCTAAGTTACTTTGTATCTTATTCAAAAATATTATTTTTCTTTGACATGATCATGTCCAAAGGAAGTTGCTATCTTCTGTGATGATCATCAACGAATCCATTCCTAACGTAGCAGATAGTTTCTGAATTGTGCTTATATATTTTTCCACTCTTTGGAGTGTGTCATTCTTTGACATCAATTGAAGAGAAAACAGAAAGGGAAATAAGAAAAAAAGGCATTACTTGATGCACATACTTAATTTAAGTATTCACCAAACAATTCATTAATTACTATTATAGTGCCTTCTCTTTATGTAGCCTTTGTAGCTCGATTTGGTACACATCGAGTTTTTTCTATGAAAGATCATTCTCATTTAGTTTGATTTTTTATGATGAATCATCGCATTCTAATTGACCTGCTATTTCTGTAGAAATTTTCTGAATTTTCCTTTGCACAGCTTGGAATTGCTTCACCCTCTCTTATTTCCTCAGTTGCATTTCCCGTAGAGCTGGGGTAATTGAATCTAGCTGCTCTTTTAATGTTCTTGTCATTTTCTCTAGCTGTCGATGATAAAATGTTTCGAATTAGCATCATTCCAGAATTGTTACTTGATTTCATTACGCTTATTATTAATTAAGTTTCATATAACTCCAATATACTTGTTTGTACCAAATCTTTCTATATAACTTCCTAGCACAATATACATTGGAATATTATGGTTGTTCAAATTTGATCAATGTTTTGGGTCATTAGCTTTGTTTTATAAAAGGTCCAACTTTTTGAAAAGGCACATAAAAAGTACTAAGTAAATACTGAAGCGTAGGATTCTATGAACGCACAAATATTTAGGATTCGGAATCTTAGTGATCTCATAACAATTCCGTACGTAAAGATGGAATTTGTTTTTCTTGTTACAAACCTTATAAATGAACTCTTAAGTGACACCAACTGGGCCCTAGATGAAGAAAATTTTTGCCGCAATATTGGCATTTGGTGCAGCTCTTGTTTGTAATTATTTTCATATTTTTGTACCCATAAGTATGCAAATTATTGGTCTAGGCAAACTAGTTCCTTAAGAAACTTAGCATTCGAAGTGTTGACATCCCAAAATCACCAAACAGCATCGGATTAGCACGAAACTTGGCACAAACGACCGCCTAGGTACAAGAGACTAGTGGGAGAAGACAGGACTTGAATCGGGTTCTCAATTTGGGAGTTAGAGCCAGATTTTGGTCTAGGCAAACTAGTTCCTTAAGAAACTTAGAATTCGAGGTGTTGATGCCCCAAAATCACCAAACGTCGTCGGATTAGCACGAAACTTGGCACACATGACCGCCTAGGCATGAGAGACTTGTGGGAGAAGACGAGACTCGAATTGGGTTCTTGATTTGGGAGTTAGAGCCGGGTTTCGGTCTAGGCAAACTAGTTCTTTAAGAAACTTAGAATTCGAGGTGTTGACGCCCCAAAATCACCAAACGGCATCAGATTAGCATGAAACTTGGCACACACGACCACCTTGGCATGAGAGACTTGTGGAAGAAGACGGGACTCGAATTGGGTTGTCGGTTTGGGAGTTAGCACAGGATTTTGGTCTAGGCAACCTACTTCCTTAAGAAACATAGAATTCGAGGTGTTGATGCCCCAAAATCACCAAACGGTGTTGAATTAGCACAAAACTTGGCACACAGAACCGTATAGGCATGAGAGACTTCTGGGAGAAGACGGGACTCGAATCGGGTTACCAATCTAGGAGTTATAGCCGGATTTCGGTCTAGGCAAACTAGTTCCTTAAGAAACTTAGAATATGAGGTGTTGACTCCCCAAAATCACCAAACAGCGCCGAATCAGCACGAAACTTGGCACACACGACTGCCATGGCACGAGAGACTTGTGGGACAAGACGGGACTCGAATCAGGTTCCCAATTTGGGAGTTAGAGCCAGATTTCGGTCTAGGCAAACTAGTTCTTTAAGAAACTTAGAATTCGCGGTGTTGATGCCCCAAAATAACCAAACAGCGTCGGATTAGCACGAAACTTGGCACACACAACTGCTTAGACATGAGAGACTTGTAGGAGAAGACGGGACTCGTATTGGGTTCCCAATTTGGGAGTTATAACCGAATTTCGATCTAGGCAAACTAGTCACTTAAGAAACTTAGAATTCGAGGTGTTGACGCCCCAAAATCACCAAATGGCATCGGATTATCACGAAACTTGACACACATGACCACCTTGGCACGAGAGACTTGTGGGAGAAGATAGGACTGGAATTGGGTTCCTGGTTTGGGAGTTAGAGGCAGATTTCGGTCTAGGCAAACTAGTTCCTTAAGAAACTTAGAATTTGAGGTGTTGACGCCCCAACATCACCAAACAACGTTGGATTAGCACGAAACTTGGCACACACAACCACCTAGGCACGAGAGACTTATGGGAGAAGAAGGGACTCGAATCGGGTTCTCAGTTTGGGAGTTAGAGCTAGATTTCGGTCTAGGCAAACTAGTTGCTTAAGAAAATTAGAATTCCAGGTTTTGATGCCCCAAAATCACCAAATGGAGTCGGATTAGCACGAAACTTGACACACACGACCACCTGGGCACGAGAGACTTGTGGGAGAAGACGGGACTCGAATCGGGTTCTTGGTTTCGGAGTTAGAGCCGGATTTTGGTCTAGGCAAACTAGTTCCTTAATAAACTTAGAATTCGAGGTGTTGACGCCCAAAATCACCAAACGGTGTCGGATTAGCACGAAACTTGGCCCAAACGACCACCTTGGCACGAGAGACTTGTGGGAGAAAACGCGACTCGAATCGGGTTCCTGGTTTAGGAGTTAAAGTCGGATTTCGGTCTAGGCAAAATTATTTACTTAATTATCTTTGTAATTGTATAGTATTTAAATTTTTATGTTTTTTTGTAATTGACATATTAACACATAATTATATTGTCATTAATTATTTTTGTTTTTGTTTTCAGATATTTTCCGAGTAGGAGTTTGCTTCTTGTTGAATACATGCCCTTGAAGAATGCGACTACCTGTTGTTTTTATTACCCACGGAGAATGATGAGGAAAACTTTTTTTTTTTATTTGTTATTTTGAATTGTGAACAACATTATGTATTTAAACAATATATATGTATTATGGAACATTATGTAGTGGGGTAATTTTGCTGCTATGTAGTTATGAATTCAAGAATACTTTTATTATGGAGAAATTATTATTTCTATATAGGAATTTTTATATTATTATGCAATTATTGGTTTCTTTTTCAATTTTTTTTTTCATTTAATATAGGTAATTTTAATATTTTTAATAATTTTATTGCAGTTTTATTTTTATTTTTTTTTTCGCGATGGCACCATACCGTCGCAAAAAACATTAGAATTAAAATCTATTTTTTTTGGCGACATAGGCAATGCCATCACAAACGAAATTGGCAACAGAGGTCATGCCGTCACAACAAAAAAACATTTCGCGACAGCAGTTTTTTTGCTGTCTCAAATAAAACTTTTAGCAACAGTACAACATTGCCTTTGCAAAAGATTTCAATTTTTTACATATTATAGGCGATAGTAAAATGTCGTCGCAAAAATTTGAGTAGTTAGAAGTAAATTTACTACTGTGGATGTTGTCGACAACTATAAAATTATCATTGTTTAATTAATTAATTTCAATCTTGAGCTTGATTTCTTTGATTAAGAAAATAAATAAAAAATAAAACGACGACTTAAAATCCTTCACAACAACTTTAAATGTGTTATAAAATTTTGTTTTTAGGAATATACTCAAAGAATAATGTTAGGAATTCTAAATGAATTATCAAATATTTTACACGATGCTAACATGAGTGTGAGACTCATACTTAAATAGGACCCATACTTAAATAAATATTATGTAAAATATCTGATAATTGATTTGTAGTCTCTAACTTTTTTTATACTCAAAAAACAAAATTATAAATTTCTAATTGTAGGTGGGCCCAATTAAATGGCAACTACAAATTTATCTTACTTTAATTAATAAATTTTAATCTTTAAATCATCCTCGTATGAACCTTCTTCGACTTCGGACCAAACAGGATATATAATTTACCCTCCATTTGTTTGGGAAAAAAAATAAATATAAAATCATGTTATTGTACTTTTTTTGACAACATGTTTTTGTACTTTAATATTGAAAAACCTAAGTGATTCGTGATTCGGCTCAAGATTAATTATACTAGTTCCCAAACAATTAAAACTAACAATCTAAATTATCAAGCATGTACGAAAGTGATTTAGATTGTTGTTTCAAAACATAATAAATCGACACAAACGATTTTTACGTGAAAAAATCACAATTGGAGCACCTCCAATTGTGATTAAAAAACCACGGGCGAAACGCCACAAATCAATCCACTATGAAGGAAAGAAAGAATACAAAACAACCAAAAAAATTATCCAAACTCTGTCAATTTGTCTTCAACGATTTGTATCTCTTCCACCGCAACCTTCATCTCAGAATTGATTAGATTGATGTTGATTCCACAACATCCACGTCGACTCAACGATTGCGCACAACTTCGAACACCTTCAAACACTCCACGTTTGAATCTCTAGATTCCACCGAAGAATAACACTCTTGAAGATAATCACTCAAACAACCCTTTGATGTGTATTGTCAAACCATGTGAGTTTAATACTCAAGCAAACATCAAAGGAAAACTAGCAAAATAGTCCCAAAAGAAAACCCTAGAGCCCTCAAAACAAATCTCAAAGAATTAAACCTAGAAACGGACTTAAACATATATATATATATATATAGAAAATAGGGGTCGCGTACTCCGCTCGAGTGCAGGACTTGTCGCTCAAGTGAAGTCACTAAAAATGCTTGGGAATAAACAAGTCTATGCTCAAGCACTGGAACTCACGCTCAAGCGCAAAAATACACCTCCCAGTATTTGTGCAGAAAAACCAAACTACTGAGAAGTTGCAAACTCCGCTCGAGTGCAAATGGTCCTGCTCGACCGGGAAGACCAAAATCCAAGGAAAAATTACAACTCTATTAAACTAAGCTTGTTCACGGAATTGGCAACAAGTAGGGACCTAACAATCTCCCACTTTGTCAATTCCCGGACAAAACTTTTCTAACAATTTTTCCTAAAAACAAACGCACTAGACACACTCACTAACACAACCCTATTAGACACACAAAAAAACTGCAAAACCACAATTGCCGAGAAACACTGAGAACAATGTTAAACAATCCACTAGTGGAAACAATAAAATACCGAAAACCAAAACTGTGGAACGAAATAAAATCCAAATAGAAATAATGCATGAATGTCATAAACGAAAACAACCCACAACCATCGCATTGCAAAGATATCACATAAGCCAAAGATATGGATGTTTTTGTGTTCTGTGTCCAGCATGTACAAACCAATAGGAAAAAATATCCAAAAATAATAACCACAGGAACTAAACTACTCCCCCTTTGTGTCCGGGAGACAAGAAGACAAAAGAAAGAAGCAAAAACTATCCAAAAAATAAACTGGTAAAAAAAACAAACTCAATGATCGGGCGGCAGTGGATGTGGCTGCTGCAACTGAAGCAATGCAAGAATCTGATCCAACTGTGAAGTGGTCTGGGCAGCAGACTGCTCAAGATGTCCAAGTTGGCCATCAAAGGCATCAAGGCGAGCATCCATGTGATCCAACTGCTGAGTCACGGATTGCTCAAAACGGTGAAGCTGGCCACGAAAGGTCCGGGGATGAACATCAACCTCCTCGGCACCAGTTGTCGCTGCATTAATCTCCGCCTTCTTTGCTAGAAGATCCTTATCACTTATAGAAGGACCTGCCCTAGATGGCTCCCCCTTAACATGTGCTCGACGTTGAGAAACAGTTTTCTTAGTAAAGGATTTAATAAGGATGGCATACTCATCGTCCTCGAAGACCGGGACCGCTAGCCTAGACAAGAGACGGTTGATCAGACAACCGTAGGGCAATCCTAATTGCTTGTTCCCAAAAACTGTGATCATTTTGCGAAGAATAAGGGTGGCAAGATTGATGGAAAGATGGTAAGCTATGCAGAAGAGAACAAAACCTTATTCTTGATTGATCTCAGAACAATGAGTGGTGACAATGATATTTGCACAGACAATAAGGTTGAGCAGACGGAACTGGAGAAGAAGTTCAAACTGTTTAATCAGAGTGCCCTTGACCCAATTACGGGATGTACCACACAAGGCGGTGGCCACCTCATTGAAATCATATATGGGTCGGACAGGGAAAGGATAGTGCTCCGGAAAAACACGGTCGATGCCTAAGAGCTCTCTAATAAGATCAGGAGTAATAGAGATGGACTTAGACAGAACCCAGATCTAGAAAGAAGGGCCAATATAATTAATACCCCCAATGTTACAATAAAACTCGCGGACCCAGTCAAGGTTTTGGCGGCCGAAGAAAGACAGAACTAAGTCACCCCCTAATGGATCAAACAATGGTCGAATGGGAATGGACTCAAATGTGTTGGGCTGGACATGGCGCTCTAGAGGGGAAAGACTCTCTATAAGACTTGGCTTTGTCTGCGGATGGAAATCAGTCGGTGTTATGTGAGGGGTGAGTGACTATGGACTTCCTACATTTGGCAGTGGACATAGCTAACCCAAGGTCAAAACGTACACTAACCAATCTAAACACCCCCCAAAACCAAAGCCAAAACAGTTAAGACAAAAAAAAAAACATTAGTAACCAAAAAATGGAGAACAATGCAGTAGTATAAGAGATGCACACAGGTGAAAAAAAAAAATAAGACCACGACTGAGAGAAGTCGAACCAAGTGAATGAAGTGTGTGAATCACCAACAAGCATACTACCCTCTGTGGAAGTGTGTGAATCAAGTGAATTAAACACAAAACCAACACCGACTAAGGCACACTAGACATAAAACAAATCAAAGCACAAGCAATAAAGAAACCCCAAAAACATACCGAGAGAGAGAGAAAGTAAACAAAAAAAAAATAGGGTGAGAAACTTACCAGAGATGAACCAAAAGAGAAAAGATGAAGAGATCAAACCAAAACACAGCCCAAGGAGTCGCAATCGAAACCCTAGGGGAGAGAGAGACAATCGCGAAAAAGAGGGAAAAAAAATGAGTTTGAAATGAAGGGTAACAGAATTTGTACTAGCACTGACCACTCGAGTGGGAGACTCAACGCTCGAGCAGCAATTATGCACGTCCCTCCGCTCAAGCTAAAAAAAGGACGCTCGAGTGTAAAACACCTGCTCTCAGAATCTCGCGCACTCTGCATAAGTACTAGATGATGGAAAAGGGCGCTCGAGCGCTACATTGTCCGCTCGAGCAGAAGAAAAAAAACACCAAAGGCTAAAAAAACTCCCTTCAAAGTAGATAAAACCAACTCAAACTGTCAAGTGGGACCTAAAAGAGGTGAGCACAGTAGCACGAATGTGACACTAAGATGGGATAATCTACAAATCATGAAGCCTGCAAACTCACAATTTTGACAACATGAAACACAATAACATGAGCAAGTCAGATAAATACTTATCAATGAACATAAGTTTCATGGGAATGGACAACTCAAAGACAAACATGAGAGCTCACATAAAGAATGTGTGTGTGTACAATCCTTGCGAGGCCACAGAGCTAGAGTTAATCCTCATAGTGATCGGATGGCTGGACCTCCAGCAAGAGTAACTAAACATCACAGAGAAAAGTCAAACCGCTAGGAATCATGGGGTATTTGTTGAGTAAACGTGGAGGCTCCCCCTCAATCAATGAGTCTTTTTTTTTATATATTTTTTTATTACCCTTTTCTTGCTTGTGGGCACTCACTGGTGGCATGCACACTCAAGAGTATGGAGACCAAACTAGAGAAGCATGAATTCAATAAGGATGGCCTGGTTAGTGCCTTTGAGGTAGCCTTTTCCTAATGCCCGGACTTCAATGAACCGAGGGAGGAACCGTGGAAGTGAAAAATGATGGCAGATGGTTAAGAGACTCAACATCACCCATGATATGCCAGTATAGGTCAATTCCTCTGAAAATGTATAAGAAACACTGTTAGTGGTCCATAGAGAACTTTGATCACTTGCGCGAAAACCCCTGTAACAGTTTATCTCAAGGATGTGTACAGAATGAGATCATGAAGTCAATGAGCATGGGCATTCAGAATGAGCTATGAACAAAGGAAAATGAAACATTGCAAGCAGCATGAGAGGTGTT